GGAATATATTTGTACTTGACCTGACGTCAAGGTTGTAACTAAGTCAGTGGGAGTATTACATCTGAAATTAGAGTGTATGAGGATATTAGTATTAGAGAACTATCTTTATGCACAGAAGTTAGACGCTATCTAATTCTTGTTTCACTTGTGGTTTATAAAAACTGTGTTGTTATTTTGTAAAACTGGTTTTATGAAATTGAATAGATATGCGATTGCTTCTGGTGCATTAAAAGATGGTTAATATACTATAATCACAAACTCTTAAGATTTGCAAGATGTAGAAACTAATGTTGCATCTTCTAGATTGAATGTTAAGAGAAAAATTGTTATTCCTGACTCATTGTATTTTTAGTGTCTATTTTTGGGTTGTAATCAGTCAAAATGAGATTCAAAGATTGGTCAAAGAAGGTTAATTACCTAGTGAGGCAGAGGAGCCTAAACCAAACTTGTGAACCCTGTTTTGAAGGATAGATAACTCTAAAGGCTTAATCAGCCAGATGAAATAGACATAAAGGACAATTGGAGTCGGTACACACTGACACGTGTGGTCTTATGAACATCCAAGCAAGTTACTCACGATTTGGATAAGTTTATCTGATGTAACACAAGTCTTAAACTCTTGGTATATTCTGAGAAGGTTAAGACTGATGTGGAGCACAGATTAGGTAAACTTATCAAGACACTTCGATCTGATCGAGGATATAAGTATTTCTTGGGATAGTACAAAGACTATATGGTCAATAAGGGTGTTGTGTACCAGTTTTCTGCAATTGACGCTAAATGTATTTAGGTGTCAAATAGGAATAACAGAATTCCACTTAACATGGTTAGATCTATGATCAGTTATGCCACAGTATCTCTTTCATTTAAGAGTTTAGCGTTAATGACATTGATGCGCATTATGAACTGCATTCCATCTTAGTCTGTCTCAAGGATACCGTTGAGCTGTGTTTTTTACTAAATCTTAGTTTGAATCACATGCACATATGGGGTAGTCTTACACATGTGCGCTTGATATGGACAAGTAAGTTGGAAACAGATCATACGCGTGATAGATTTGATAGCTACTCTAAAAGTCACTAGGACGGATTATTTTATGATCTCAATAATAAAAATTGATTGTTTACACTCACTATTTATCTATAGGAGAATCATATTATGAATCACATACCTAGTAACATAGTGTTAGAGAATATGGTATGAGTACCAGATGTACCACATATGAACACACTTAGTATAGAGATTTAGAATTATAGATGAATTCCCTATTGATGCGTCAGCATCATCTAGTACACAGATTCCTTCATCGGTTCATTGATGTAGTGGGAGGATAATTATCCAATCCGACAGAATCATATTTTTTAGGTGAGACCGTTATGGATATCCCTGTTAAACATGAGTTGGACCCAGTAAGCTGCATGGAAGCGTGAACCGATATAGATACAGATCGTTTTGGCGAGTTACTATGAAATCAGAGTTGGAATCTATGTATTTTGATAAATTCTGGGATCTTGTAGAATTTTCTAGTAGGGTGATACCTATGGAAGGCAAGTTAATCTACAAAAAGATACCAGAAGATTTCTTAGTGAATAAATCATGAGTGCACAAGGGAATGTCATTATTTTTCTGATTCTATATATATATTGATAACATCCTACTCATTTAGAATGATGTGGAAGTTTTGTCATCAATAAAGAGATAGTTGTTCAATTACTTTTAAATGAAGGATTTTCAAGATGTAAGTTATATTCCTAGAATCAAGCTTTTGCAAGATCAGGTTAAAAGGAAAATAGGCTTATCTTAATAATCCTACATTGATAAAGTTTTGACCAGGTTTGGTATGCATAATTCAAAGAATGAGTTCTTACTTTATTGATATGGATTGCTCTCTCTAGTAAGTAGTTTTTCAAGACTAGCAGAGGAGATTGAGTAAATGAGACTGTAACTATATGCTTTGGCATATGGAAGTCTCATATATGCCATGGTCTATACCAAATAGGACATCCGCTACATAGTAGGGATAGTCAAAAGATATCAATCCAATTCTGGATTTGATAACTAGTCTGTTGTGAAAAATATCATTAAGTACCTAAGGAGGACCAAGGATATCATACTCATTTATGGATGTGATGATATGGTCCTAGTCAGGTATGCTAGTTTTGATTTTTAATCAGAAGTAGATACTATGAGGTTCATGACTTAATGTATGTTCACTTAATGGAAGGGAAATCAGTTGGTAGATTGTTAAGTAGATTTCAACTGCTGACTCAAACCTGCAGGTGGAATACATTGCAGCCTTAAAGGCTGCAAAGGAAGCCTATTGGTTTGATCTCACTGATTTAGAGGTTGTGGAGTATACTAGCCTGCCTATTGAGCTATGTTGCGACAATAGTGCAGAAGTAGTCCAAACCAATGACCCAAGGTTCTATAGAGGAACAAGATACACTGAGAGGAAGTATCATGTTCTACATGATATTGTCTGGCAAGAAAATGTACTTGTACCCAGAACATTACATTGGAACACAACTTTGTTAATCCATTATCAAAGGTGTCATTGATTAAAATTTTTGATCATCATCTGGATAACATTGGAGTTAGGTGCAATTTGAATTGGCTATAAGGGCAAGTGGGAGCTGTTGGGATTTATATGCCCTGGCATAGCAAATTCCTATCTGGATTATAGTGACATATGTTCCTGACATATCTGAAATATTTATGATTTATATAATTAGTGAATTCAATGTATTATGTTTCGATTCACTATGAAATTGATAGTGTCTTTGTGATTACAAGAAATATTTATATATATGTATGTGATGGCAATCAATGCATGATATATGAATAGTAATTATAAATTGTTTATAGTCAGTAATTATGGATGGACTCATAATTAATTAAGACTTGAACTAGATCCGCGTTAGGTTGAGATATATTGCGAGAGCCGTCGTATGCAATTGCTCCCTATCATCGTCATGGCATTTGACTCTTAAGCATGAGAAAATTATAGACTCTTTTATTAATTAATAATTACTTTGATTTGTTCGGCGGATTCTTCGGGATCCTTAGACCGATACTTTGGGTAGTTATGTGATTAATAGTTAGAGGGTTATATTTTCAATATTTGCATCATTGCTACTTGTATTTATTTTGTCTTGATTATGGTTGATCACAAAGTAAATTCGAAGGCCTTCGTGTGGTTTTAGACAAAATTATTTATTATATATTTATTTATTAAATTATTATTTTTGTCAAACAAATATTTTATTGTGATCGGGTCAGAAATAATCAATGGTACCAAAATAAATATATTAATTAAGTAGTCGGATTGATGGCTTTATTTATCCGATAACTAATTATGCATAGAGGGGTCAAAGTGCAATATTGATTTAGAGGTTATTTATTATTTAATTGGAGTTCAATTAATTTCTTTTAGTAGAGTAGAAATTAATTTATGAATTAATTGAATTGGGTCTATGGACGGGCCAATTATTAATTCATTGTAACCAATAAAATAATGGGCCCAATGGATTCTCACTCATAGCCCAACTTGATATTGGAATCATATTAGATTTGAGACATATGAATTAGAGATTGAGTAGTACTTGTTATTTCCTTTTCTTTATTTTTATGTTACCTATAAATATACATGGTCTATGTATATTTTAGGGGTGATTTTTGGAAGAAGGAAAAAGGAAAAATTTTCTCTCTCTAGAAAATTAGGGTTAGTGTTCTCATCTAGTGGAGGCTCCCACAAGCCTAGTTTTCCAAGGTCATTCATGGAGGCTTATGAGTGATTCCTAAAGGCAAGACTATTACCAAGAAGATGGAGATCCATGGAAAAGGTGTCTAGCAAAAGGGATCTACAATAAGTGAGAACATTCACTTTAGAGGAGAGATCTAAGGTTTTGATGTAAGTTTTCAATCTTTTAATAGAATGATACATCATGTTTTATTATTGCATAAAACTTGTCTCTATGTGATGAATCAAGATTTATGAATTAAAATCCCTCGAAAAGTTTTTAAAACTAGCCCGTTTCCCGACAGTTTCAACTGAGTTAGATTGAGAAGGTGGATAAATTTAGGGGGGGAGTTTACTTTTTGTTTCTCTCTGTGCGCGCGCGCGTGCTGGTGACTAATAAACTTATTTTTTTGGTCTCAGCTCTATACCCTTCTCTCCATATAAATTGTGGAGGAGAAGAAACTGTCGATAAAAACACCTATGAAGGTGATACAGATCCAGGTGGACCATCATCGTTCTTCCAGAGTGGAACGAAATGGGCATTTAGCAGCACTGGTCACTTCTTGGACAACTCCGAAATTGCCAAATACTTTACAATGACAAGTACTTATAAACTCTCTATGAAAAATCCCGAGTTGTACAAGAATGCAAGAATTTCTCCCCTCTCCCTGACTTACTATGGATTCTGTCTGCAAAATGGAAACTACACAGTAGGGCTTCACTTTGCAGAGATCAGGTTTACTGATGACAAAAACTATTCCAGTCTTGGAAGGCGCATATTTGACATTTACCTTCAGGTAGATTTTCACATTTTTTTTCTTATCAACAATTGGTAGAAGAAGTGATCATCTACTATTTATCTGATACAGTTGCGACACTCTTGATGTTAATGAGATCGATAAGAGGCCGTTATCTATAAAATAAAAAGTGATCATCTACTAAAAGATTTTATTTTATTTTATTTTATCTACTTTGGGCCATTTAGATTTTTCATCTTCACCATGCCAAATTCAAGATTTTCTTCTTCTTCTTTATTATTATTATTATTATTATTATTTGAAACAATTCAGTTTTTGGACTGTAATTTGAGTTTCACCTGCTTCTATATTAATATCAAACTGATCGAAATCTAAGCCCTTGTCACAGCATATAAACTACAGTTGTATTTAATTAAATTTTTGCAGCGAGAGCCGGTGCTGAAGGATTTCAATATTGAAAGTGAAGCGGGTGGTGTTGGTAAAGAAGTCGTAAAAAAATTTCCTGCAGAAGTCACTAATGGTACGGTGGAAATCCGCTTCTACTGGGCTGGAAAAGGGACAACAGATATCCCTGTTAAAGGTGTATATGGTCCTCTAATTTCAGCTATTTCTGTGGATCGTGGTGAGTTGTATACTTTTTGTCATGGTTGGGAACTGCCCCATACTTTCCACAATACGATTTCAAGTTTACTTTCACATGTAACGTACTGATTGTAAGAGAGGAAATTCAGTACAAGAGAGGAAATTGATTCACATGGTCAGACACTACAGTACTGTTTTTTTGGAAGAACAAAATGGGAATTTTCACAAGGAGTATTTTTGGTTTTTATCTTAATATCATATACAATATCTTAATATTGTGAAATAGTAACAATAAAAGGAGAACAAAATTATCTTTATATTTCTCTGTTTCCGCAAGCTGAATTTGTTCCATTATCAGAACATGGAAAAAGTTTATCAGCAGGCGCTGTGGCTGGAATTGTGGTTGCAGTTGTTGCATCCATTACCTTCCTGATTCTGGGAATCCTTTGGTGGAAAGGCTGCCTGCGACTGAATGATACAATGGATCAAGGTATTTGCAAACCATTTAGGCAAGCCCCTGATATTTATGAGAAATAGTAATTTTAAATATCATCATCATCATCATATTCTTCCTTTATGAGGAAGCTAAATGACTTTGTTTGTTATGTTTTATATATAGTTTTGTCATTATGAGTGCTGTGCGACGGTATATGGATGCCTCTGTACATTTCAACACTTGAACAATAATTTTTTTATGAAACTTTTTTGTTTGGATATCAGTCTGTTTAACACTTGGTGCTGCAGCAACGGCTTGGTTCTCTTTTAGGCACAGATATCTGGATCTAGTGTAAATACCTGTTTTAAAATGTTAGAAATGCCGGTTTTATAGACATACTACTTATCTAACTCAATTTCTTTCACAGATCTGAAGCGTCTTGACCTACCGACTGGTTCATTTTCCTTGCGACAAATAAAAGCTGCCACAAACAATTTTGATGCTGCTAATAAGATTGGAGAGGGTGGTTTTGGCCCTGTCTACAAGGTAGGATTACTTTCATTATCATTGTAATGTTTTAAGCTATAATAGTGATGCTCTTTCCTTAAAAAAGAAAATTTAATGCGAAAATCTTTTCTTTTCTTTTTTTTTTTTTAAATGAAGGGACTTTTTTCAGATGGCACTAGAATTGCTGTGAAGCAGCTTTCCTCCAAATCGAAGCAAGGAAACCGTGAATTTTTGAATGAAATAGGCATGATTTCTGCATTGCAGCACCCTCATCTTGTAAAGCTCTATGGGTGCTGTATTGAAGAAAATCAATTGTTGCTAGTATACGAGTACATGGAAAATAACAGTCTTTTTCGTGCTTTATTGGGTAAACTTAAAACACATGCTTTGCTTTATTGCTTTTGGTATCAGACCACAGATAGACAGACAGACATTATTTATACATGTATGCTTTAGCTGATTAGTTATGTTTATGTACTTGATGATTTGAAGGCCCAGAAGAATTCCAGTTGAAATTGGATTGGCCAACTAGGCAAAAGATCTGCATTGGTATAGCTAGAGGTTTGGCTTATCTCCATGAAGAATCGAGACTAAAGATCGTCCATAGAGATATCAAGGCCACCAACGTGCTGCTTGATAAGGATCTTAACCCTAAGATATCTGATTTTGGTTTGGCCAAACTTGATGAAGAGGACAATACCCACATAAGCACTCGGGTTGCTGGAACTTAGTGAGTCACCTGCTCTAATTCATAGTCAGAGCTATTACTGCCATTATTTTCACTCAGATTTCTTTACTCACATATATACTGATCCCTTCTTTGAAACGTACGCCAAGTATTAGTTATATTTCATCTGGTAAGAATAACATTTTTGACAACATATATATCTCAAAGAGAATGTGATACGATTTATGACTTTACAGCGGATATATGGCACCTGAATATGCAATGCGGGGTTACCTGACTGACAAAGCAGATGTTTATAGTTTTGGAGTTGTCACATTGGAAATTGTCAGTGGGAGGAATAACACCAGCTACAGTTCAAAGGAGGAATGCTTTAACCTTCTTGATTGGGTAATTTCATTTTCTTGCACCTATTGTTTCTACTTGTTTTTTATTGTCAATATATTTTAAGCCGTGTTTGTTGCTTAAACAAAGCAGATAAAGAAAATGCTTCTAAAATAACTGGCCATTAACCTCATGCATGTGCATTGCAAGAAGTTTAATATTATTCATTGTAACATATATTAGTTCTTCAAAGATGAATATCGCTTTGTACGAAACTGGCTGGCTGATAATTCACATTCATTTCATATCATGTGAAACTTTGGCTAAGTAGTATACTAAGTACTGAAATCACAATGATATGCTCTTTGTTCAACACTGGGAAAGTTTTTATTTCATTTTCATTGAGACAGAGAGGTTTGGTACCCTTTACTTCGAATCATACTTGAATTCTAAGATAGCAATTTTATATTTTTCCTAGGCACTTGAATTGAAGGAGAAGGGGGATCTGCTGGAGCTAGTCGATCCGAGGTTGGGACCAGACTTCAACAAAGAAGAGGTGATGGGGATGATTAAAATAGCTCTGCTGTGTACTGATGTCACACCAGCAGTTAGACCTACCATGTCTTCAGTGGTCAGCATGCTCGAAGGTAGAGCAATTGCTCAGGAGTTGATTCCAAGTGCTCCAAGTAGCGCCATGAATGTCAAGGAAATGAAAGATGTGTACCAACACAACCATGAAACTGACATGAGTATGTCAGTTGATGGGCCATGGACTGCCTCTTCTACATATACCGCTGATCTCTACCCGGTCAATCTGAATTCTGATTATTTGTCAAACAGAAATTAGACAAATGGTACATGTTGTCTTGACTGATTATCATCTTGTTTATCCTAACGCATAATGCTTCTGAAACATTGTATAAAAAAAACATTGGTCCTTCGTTTTGGTCTTTTGGGATGCTTTCTTTGTATTATTGTTATTATTATGAATGGCTGTTGAGCGATCTTTTTAAAATATATTTGTTACCACCATGTAATTGACACTGCTTGTTTTTCCTTTTCCGTTTGTGGCTAAAACAAAAGCTATGCGTTTTCTTCAAATATATTTTTCTTGGAAAACATTTATCATGAATTTTTATTTAAATCACATTTCCCAGCTACTTAATTACTATTTTATATAGTTGATAAGCTAAGTCAAACAGTGCTTCTAAATGGTTGTTGTTCTCACGCTCCGTGTGCGCTCTCGCTCTCTTTTTTATTGTGTATGACTTAAATTTTGTTACTTTCGTACTCCCATTCTCATTTTATGTTACTTAGCATAATTCACAATATAAGTGTTTCTAGATGCATACTCAGGATACAATCAAATCCCAATGGATCCGAACGATGAGGACAAGACTTCTTTTGTAACTGAACGAGGAACCTATTGCTATAAGGTCATGCCGTTCGGATTGAAGAATGCTAGGGCCACTTACCAAAGGTTGGTCAGTAAGATTTTCAAAAATCAGACGGGAAAAACCGTGGAAACTTATATTGATGACATGGTGGTAAAGAGCAAGAAGAAGGACGATCACTTAGGGCATCTGCACAATGTGTTCGGTGTATTGAGGAGGTATGGAATGAAGCTAAATCCAACCAAGTGTTCGTTCGGCGTGGGCTCGGGGCAATTCCTGGGACACGTGGTTAATAACAAAGGAGAAGGTATATGATATCTAAACCAAAACCCCTATCACGATTCAAAATTAAAAGTACCGATATCGCCCTAAAGAAGTTAGGGTTAACCTGAAAAGGGGAAAGCCCTAATTTGCTGAAGACATAACAAAAGAACGGGTGTAAGGGAAATCTGATTACATTCAAATGAAGAGCCGAGAAGAGAATCTCCCCAGGAAGGAGACCCTCACCGGTGCTCTCATCCAGATTTGCAAGATAAACCCTAAGGGAGACGTCGTTTAGGATATTGTTCTTTGAACGAATAGAATCCAAATCAAGGGGAGCCATTTGAAAAGGGGAGGAAATTTTTATGTGTAAACTTCTTTTTGTTTCTTCTAAAAGAGAGCAGCAAGGGGAAGGGACTAACCTTGAAAAGAAGAATGTGCAAAGTACCTGGTAATGAAGCGAAAGTCGAAATAGCAAAGGAAAAAAAAAACTCGCCGGAGAAAGCAAAGGAAGCCCGCCGGAAAGTACAGGTGAGTGACAGAAATAATCGGAGGGGATGACACTAGAAGATGGAGATGAGAAAGGTTGAAGAAAGGCAAAAAAACAAGAGGTTGGGATTTTTAAAGTAAAAATGGTTCAACATTCAATGAGCTGAGTTGAAGATGGTGCAGCAAATCTCAAAACATGGGTCTCTGAACCAACCATTCGCTTCCCCACGTCATCACTTCGAGCTGTCATGTCATGATTGTGTCCTTTTGATAATCTCACCCTAATTAATTAGGGAGAGATTACGAGGACAGATGAAAATACCAAAAATGACCTGGGTCGGGTACGATCCAGATGGCTAAGAATAGGTTAGATAAGGACAACCGTTCTGGACCAAATCTTCATTAGTCAAACCCAGGACAGGAAAATCAAATGGGAAGCCCGATTTAAGATTAAAGGATTTGAGCCCATAATCAAGAAGAGCCCAAAAGATCAGCCATTGCAAGAAGTTAGTTATGAAGCTTCTAGAATTGTTCTTTCTAATTTCAGAGGGAAAATTTCTTGCATCTTCAGATGCATGTGGGGCATGATCGCATGGAAGCTTACAAAATAGCTTTGACAACTTGGGCTAAGTGGATTTATTCCAACATCTATCCTTCAAAGACAATCACTTCAGAGATTTGTATCTCTTGCTAATATGAATTCCAGAATTTTCAATCTGTATATTTCATTTTCTAGCAGACGATACTAGTTAGACAATTATTAAAATGGTGATTGTTGGATGAGAGGGTTTATCATGAGATGGATTACATCCAAGGCAGATCTAGGAATTATTAATAGAGTGGGTTAATATTAATAATTTTTTTTTTTTTTGGGCAAGCCTAAAATTAAGTATAGTATTTTTTTTTTATTTTTTTTATTTGGAAGTGGGCTTGAGCCCACCTGGATCCGCCAGTGACTCAAATCCAATTGATGAAGTTGAATAGAGACTTTCGGCAATTTGATCAGAACTACAAATGTCTTAACATTGCTAGGGTATCTATTCTTTTGCTTAGGTTCTCCAAATATTTGTTTAAATATAATCGATCAAACTTTATTAGTTGGCTAGAAAACCAAATAATGCTTCTACTACAAAATTCAATGTATTCCATCTCTCTGATAACACAAATGGATGGTTTTTTTTTCAAAAAAAAAAATAAATAAATAAGAGTAGGACTTGTCAATAACTTCACTACTTATATATACTAGTCACTATTTAAAGGCCTATAGTGCAATGATATAACTTCTCCATGCATCCTCAAAGAGAGAGAGATGTTGAATCCATGGGTAAAAATGCGTGAATTTGCTGTACCATTATATATATATATATATATATACACGTGTCACTTATAAAGCCAGCTAACCAAGGTTGACTGTGAGCTCAAATTTAAATGTGAAGAAGTCGGCAATCAGTTTTCAGTCATTGCCTTCAAATTCAATGTGTTACAGATTTATGTGGAAAATTGAACTTAATACCTCTCCACTCTCCTATGTAGGAATTGGTCATTAGGGTTATTCACACCTAACCACTTCTTTCTTTCATTTCTTTGTGTGAATATGAAAATAATGGTTACATGATGCGAAAAAATTATTTGGATCCGTCCCGACTAATCATTAACAGACGCAAACAAAATGATGTATCGATTTTTCAGAGTTCTTCCTCTGAGAACTCAAAGACGTAAGTCTTCGGTGCGTCTTTTCGGTTATATTAGCTCAATTATTCAAACCCTACTTGATCGATCACTCTCACTCCTACCCTTTCTCACCACATCCATTATTGTAGCATTTCATTTCATCTCATTTTTAGCTCTTCCCAATTTACACCCTTAAATTGTAAACGTGAAGCAGCTATCCTTCCTCAATCTAGATCAGATATATATATATATATATATATATTTGCACCCGGAGATACCCTGCCAACCGACGAAAGTATGACACGCACACATTTAATGAAATCAAAGTCTTAAAATTTTTTTAAAAAATATGAAATTGATCGGTTTATTTTAATTTGTTACCTAAAATACCCTCTCTTTTTTTTTTTTTTACTCATCCCTACCCTCCCTCCCTCCCCCCCCCCCCCCCCCCCCCCCCCCAACGCCGACCACGAACTACCATGTCGTTCAACCTCTATCCAAGATGGCTTCAAGAATACAGAGGGGAAGTTAGGAAGAAACCACCATTTCACGCCATGGCGGGAGATCAGAGGCCTCGGCCTCCCATCTTTCCGATTCTCTTCAAAGGAGATTTGGATGATAGATTCGAGGGTAGTGATTGTTGGTAGAAGAATTAGAAGTTGTAACCATCAAAATTGGAGTTTCAAAATTGAAGAAATCAAATTAGAGTTTCGAAATGGCAGACCTCAAATTAGAAATTGGGGTCTGTTGAATGGCTTGGGCAGTGGTGCGGTGGTGGGTTGCCGGAAACTCCATGTCCATGTCCCTCCGCCGCCACCTGAGCTGCCGCTCCACCTCTCAGTCCACTGCATCGCCAGCCTCGATATACTACTTGCTCGCCACACCACAGAACAGTGCTCGCCGTTGGTCAGATTCTTCTCATTCTCTGTTCCTTGCTCGCCGCTGCTCTTCACGCCGTTTACTCCGTCATCGGCGCCTCTCGCCGGTAAGTCCATTCTTGCAATGGGAGAGGGAGCGTGGGTCAGGGGAGAGTAAGGTAATTTGGTTCAAATGTAAAGGGTTATCTTAGGCAACAGATTATAGTGAATAATTTGGTTCAAATGTAAAGGGTTATTTTAACCTTTTAAGACTTTGGCATATGGGTCCATCAGATAAAAATAGTTTGGCATGCCATTTTGCTACGAGAGTGTTTTGAAAAAAATCTAACTATTTGAAAAAATTAGACGCACGTTTGGGATGGATATTTTGCTGTGAAAATATCGGAACAAAAACATACAAAACTCTGTTTATCTAAGTTTCCTCATATTTAAGTAGGATTAAATAGATTAAAAAACTTAGTGCATCTTTTTTGCCAAGATTTTCTCACCAACAAAATAGAGGAATTTCATATCACTGAAACAATAATTTCAATTCTTCAACTAACTCAGCAAGATAAACTCAAAAAACAAAAAAATATATATATATAGATATATATATATATATATATATATATAATGATACATTAAAAAATTTCAATTCCACAATAATTTCAGCGAACTAATTTCAAGAACGCTTTTGGACTAATTTCAAGAATCAAGACTAGCACAGTAAAGATAAAATAAAGAAATAAAGCACAAACATATTAAACACGCTTGATCGATGAGCTGATGAGATCCACGCCCTCTGTTCCCGAAGACAAAATTAATTGCTAGAGCTCAGGGCTTCAGAGGAGAGAAATTTTCAGGCCAAATGGACTAAAATATTTTAACTTTTGCTTTTATACGTGGGCCAAAATGTTGCAAGTAGTTTAATTTTGTTTCCACCGCTACAGTTGTGTTTGGCCCGCTACAATATTGAAACGTCCAAAAACACTAATTTCTTATTTTAATTTTTGGGCCTAATTTGTGAAATGTTTTGATAATGTGCAAAACAATCATCCACTGCCAAACATGCTGCAACCCACTTTTCCAGCTACAGTACCTAACCTACAACAAAAATACTAAAACAAAGCAGATGCCAAACAGCCTCCTAATAAAAAAAAGTGAGTGTTTTTTAGATAATGTTGTTAGGAATAACTTGTTTGGTACTCGTTCTGATTTTGATGTTTTGGTAAACAAGTGTTTTGTGGTAGAGTACTTTTAATAGTAATTAGAAGTTTATTGCAAAAATATTTAGGCACCATACAAAAAAAAATAGTTTTTTTTCAAACACGCTCCTTCCGCTGTTCATTGCTACAGCACTTGACAAAAACAGAAACACCAAAAACAA